TTCCTTTTATAAAATCACCCCTTTTTGGTATATTGCCTCCATACTGGGTTATCCCTAGAGATGGGATGGATTTTATTTCCATTAAAGTATTACAGACAAGTTTAATTTGTTCTTCTACATAAATAAATATAAACATAACTGTCTTGGCAGCCCCAGGAGGAAGGTCATGTTGCAGTCAGAGGCTCTGCATCACAATATACTTGGAGGCCAACACCAGTGCATTTATGATGGAAGTTACTTCAATTGCTAAACACACTCATGCAGAAACACGTGTGCGCATACACACACACACACACACACACACACACACACACATCCAGCACCACAGCCCACATAGAGGGGACACAGGAACTACAGGCATCAAAAGGAATAAGATGGACAATATTTGAAAAGATAAACTTGAAAGTTCAGAATGTATAGATGTTGATTCAATTAGTATACAGAGTAATACGGGGAGGTACACAGCCTGGAACTGGGCTTAAAGATACATGCCTTTTTACTCAAATAAATGAAAGGTATGATAAAAGCAAGGAGAAATCTTTGAGGTGAGGAAGTTTTTGTGCAGAAGAGATAAACATGGCTGCTATCATGCTTTTGCAGGCAACAATCATCCTTTAAAGTGTACTCTCTGAAGAGGTTTTGATGATGCAGACGTCCATGTTTTTTCCATTCCATTTTTATGTTGCTAGAAAGATTCTGTTAAAAGCATTTCAGGTCCACACTTACAAAGGCACAGTAGGTACTGATATCAGAGTAATCAATCACTGTCAGTAGCAAGTTGGCCTCTGAGAGTGTGGTTTTTTGTTTTTGTTTTTTTCTTATAGCATATACACCTGTTCCCTAATTACCTCAGAGGACAAGCTGATAAACTGAGCTGTTTGAAATACACTGACTTTCACCGCACTTTTGAAGGTCTCCTAGCCTAGAAAGATTGAAGGGTGACCATGTGAGCATCTCGTGTATTGCTTCTACCTCAAAGAGTATGCGTGAAAAATAGAAGAATTTCAATTTCATGGAGTATTTCTATTTTTTCATTCTAATCTGACATTAGGTTAACCTGAACATCTTAAGTGAATTTCTAAAAGTTTGTAAGTACCAAAGTACCAATTTCATAATTCCAAAAAAAGGAGCATGCATTTTTCCTCTTTTAGAAACAGAGTTGTCCAACTCTTACATATTTTGCATAGAATTATATTAAAGGCAAGTTCAGCAAGAGAAAAAACAGAAGTGTTTTTTTCTGTTAGAAATTAGAAAATGCGGTAATTTTTCTACCATCCCCCTGAACACTGGGAAAGTATGGCCAGTTTTTAGATCTTATAATGCCTGATACCTAGTAAGCACTTAGTGAATTTTGTTGAAAGAAGTATAATGAATATATTTCTGAAACAATTTGGGGATTCTTGCCTTTAAAAGCCTACTTTCAGCATGGTAGATTTGTTAAAAGGTATATATTCAGTACATAAGCAGGTCACACATTTTTTTTTCCAAGTTACTTTAGAGTATATCACAACTGTGTGGTGGGAGTGGCAATGACCCAGGAGTTCAGAGACCTTGGCTCTACATTAGGCACCAACAGTAAATGGCTTGAGAAAGTGACTTAACTGCCGAGTTTCAGTCTCCACATAGGTGAAATGGTTAGTTTGGAGCAGGTTACTTCTGGTAGTCCGTGCAGCTTCAAAATTCTACAGTTGAATGGCTCAAATTAAGGAAAATTGACTCTAAATTTAACAAACACTGACATAGTGCCTACTATGTGCCAGGTAATATTATAAGTGCTTTACACACTATGTAGTCACGTAATAATAATTAAGCATATACTATGCATGGGGTAGTATTTCCTACACTGTAAAGTATAAGCAAATGACAGTTGCTATTAAAATGACAGTAATTTTATTAAAGTTCAATACAGTACAAATCATTAAAAAAGCAGAGTAGAAATAAAATAATACTTGGAATTCAAAATAATTTAAGAATAAAGTAGTTTTCCTGTTTAAACCACTAAGTAAACTTTAGATGGCTGAAATAAGTGATCTAATTTTTATTTGACTTAAGAGAATACACTAGCTGTGACACTTGACTTCACGTCGCTCTCACTGCAAATCATTGGCTTTCCTAGGCTTGAATGTTCACACATATTAAATCATATAGAAGAAAACTTTTATGAAACAAAGATATTCTACCAGTAATACATCTTAATATAGTATTCATTATAAATGTTTCAAGTGCACAATTTGTTTTAGAAAAATAAGCTAGAAACCAATGTATGATCACAGAAAACAGCAGAGCTTCTGGACATCAAAGGCATATTTGAGAAATGCAGTGGGCACATGGTTGCCTGTAAGCTTGGAACAGTAAGTACTACAATGGAAGAAATTTTGATTGGGAAGATACTAACAGGCTACAGTTCCTAGGCCTCCTAATGGTCCAAATCTCAAGCTAAATGGCTAAAACATGGATGGAAATTTGGCAAGTCCAGCAATTTCCATGTCTGGACATGCTGCGTGGGCCCTGGTCCTATTACTTTGACAACTGCCGAGACCACAAGCATTTTCATCACCTCCCTGTACTTCCTCTGCTCTTACTCATCCTTTATGGCCAAACTCGGGCACCACTTCCTCTAAGAAGTATTTCCTGAGGCAACCCCTTCCTGCTCCCCTCAAATGGCCCCCGCCCACACAGATGGTTGATTAAGGCACCGCCTCTGTGCTTCTATAAATCCCAGTATGAATCTCTAACATAGTTTGATTATTCAGGCTACCGGGTCGTATTACTATTACTACTGGCCCATAGCCTTTCCCATTAAGTAAACTGTGAGCTCCTTGAGAGCAAGAACTATGTTTAATTCATTGTTGGATCACCAGAGCCTTGGATAGTGGTTGACACAAATGCCCCACTTAAGAACTGTTTGTTAAATGAATGAATGGGTGGGTGGATAACAGCAACAGCTATTATTCACTAATAAAATAATTTGAACCACTGGCTCTCCTTTGTGCATTATAATTATAATTGGTTGGAAACTGTGATGAGAATTGACTGCGTCCAAAGGAGGCAATAGGGTGAGGGATGTATTTCTTACATGTTTGAGGAGTATCTTCATAATCAACAATTTGGTTTGGTTCATCCACCCCTGCTTACTCTGAGAATAGTAGATAAATTGTGGGAAGATAAAACATCATTTAAAAAAATCTATTCAATGGAGATTTACTGAGCATCTACTATCCAAAGTGGTATGTGTCCTAGGCAGACCGAGATTCTATCCTCAAGGGGACCATAGTTTAGATATTTAAGTAAAGGAAGAAAGTGACACATGACATCAAAGAAACCAATGTTTACTAAAATGAAAAAACATGTAATAAGGGTCATACAAAGGTCAGAGATGTCAGGGCTTCCCTGGTGGCGCAGTGGTTGAGAGTCCGCCTGCCGATGCAGGGGACGCGGGTTCATGCCCTGGTCTGGGAAGATCCCGCATGCCGCGGAGCGGCTTGGCCCGTGAGCCGTGGCCGCTGAGCCTGCGCGTCCGGAGCCTGTGCTCCGCAACGGGAGAGGCCACAGCAGTGAGAGGCCCGCGTACCACAAAAAACAAACAGACAAACAAAAAGGTCGGAGATGTCAGAGATAAATGGCTGGATTCACAAGAAGCCCCTACCAGGCAGGAGACCTAGGTTGGATCATCATGGCTCAAAACCTGCTCTAAGTTGTAAAGGTCTTGGACCCAGAGATGGTCGGGTCCAAGGAAATTGGCCTACACACACACACACCAAGCTTACTGGAACCTGGAAAACCAAAAGGCCAATGACAAGGCCAACTGGAAAGTTAATTAGGGCTTAAACATGGATTCAGAGTAAAGGGAGCTGGATGGAATGGGAGATGCTTCAGCCACACAATGCAAGTGCACAAGCCTGACCTCACATGCAAACCTTCTCTCCAGGAATCAAAGACTAGATCCAGTATTTCCCTCTCTTGGACAGTACCGGATAAATAGAGGACCTGGTGGCTATAGGTATATGCCATACATAGTAACCATTATAGGATTTCAGAGGATTAAAAGATGACATTCGGTCATAGAGATTCTTTATGGAAGAAGCAGTATGTCAACAGTGTCTTTTAAGATTGCTTAGAGTTTGCAACTGTGAATTGGGGGGAAAAAAAACTCTGAACAGAGGGGAGAGCACGAGCAAAGAAAGCGAGTGGTTCATTTTTTGCTGGACACAGGGTATGTGACGGAGGATAGTAGAATATTATGAAGGAAAGGTGGAAACAGGTCATGGACAGGCTTGAAAGCTAGTTATGAAGTCAAATGTTCCTCTTTGAGCAGTGGGGAGTCATAGTAAAGAAGAAGCATGTACGCCTGGAAAGCGAATTCGGCCACAGTGTGTGAGCTGACTTGAAGGAGGGAACCCCAGATACAGAGGCCATTGGGAAGCTCCAGAATCTACATGGGAGGACTGAAACTAGGACAACAGCAATGTAGACGGAGCAGAGAGAGTCTGAAGGGTACTAATCAGGAAGTACCATATTTTTTTCCAAATACACACATATACTCATTCCAAAGAGAATATAAAATATATAATTTAAAACCAAATCTGTCCTAATTTCTGTGGAATTCTCCACTTATAAAGAACAGGAGACTGAAAAATCATCCAGGGAATTCCCTGGTGGTTCAGTGGTTAGGACTCGGCGCTTTCACTGCCGTGGCCTGGGTTCAATCCCTGGTCGGGGAACTAAGATCCCACAAACCATGTGATGCGGCCCCAAAAATGAAAAATCATCCATCCATTTAGCCAATTTGATTGATTTGGGATGGTCTAAGTATCAAATATGATAAAAATGGGATTTTCAACACATCAACACAGTGGGTATGTATACCTAAGGGACAGGCTAAGCGAAAAGAAAAAAATATCCTAGGAAGTAAATTTTCTTTTCTCCCGAAATGTCCAGGTGATTTCTCCAGATAGACACTCTTTTGAACACTTTCTAACATTAGCTAACCCAACTAACAGGAATGCTGCAGAAAACAGAAACAGGAACTTTGTGAGAAGTTTGATTACCTGTATGGCATCTTGGAGGAAAGGAAGAACGAAATGAACCAAGTCATCACCCGAACCCAAGAGGAGAAGCTGGAACATGTCCGTGCTCTCATCAAAAAGTATTCTGACCATTTGGAGAACGTGTCAAAGTTGGTCGAGTCAGGAATACAGTTCATGGATGAGCCGGAAATGGCAGTGTTTCTGCAGGTAAGTATCCCTTTGGCCCCTGAGGAAACAAACCAAGACGGTGGGGAGATGATCCTGAATAGCTGTCGTCACATTTTCGTTATTTTCTGTACATCTCACTTTGATCTATCTTCTCAACCAAAATATATGTGCTTATATCTCCATCTGTTTAAACTATTTCATAAGCATATATTTAAGGGATCATGGCATTGCTTAAATATGAAAGGGCCCTGGTATAAAACAGCAGTTCTTTACAGCACTTAGAAGCTAAGCTATGAGATGTTCAGAGTCAGCAAAGGAAAGAATTAAATCTCAACACCGTCTTTGATGAAATGAATTTAAGTAGGCTTGTCTTTTGTTTGCTTCCACAGAATGCCAAAACCCTGTTACAAAAGTAAGTAGTTTTCATTTCATGAAAAAAAGCATACTTTTCATTTTTACCCAAGGCTATCAAACTTTACACAGTGACAGAAAGTGGCAACTTGTCTTTGTTGCAGAATTTCTGAAGCATCGAAGGCATTTCAGATGGAGAAAATAGAACATGGTTATGAGAACATGAACCACTTTGCAGTCAACCTCAGTAGAGAAGAAAAAATAATTCGCGAAATTGATTTTTACAGAGGTTTGTTATTCTTGTGACCATTTGGCCAAAAGTGCAGGTGTGTGAAAGCGTCAGATGGGTTCAGTGGGAGGAAAGGGGGATTCAGGATCATCTCCTCAATGGATGTCGACAACTTTACAAGGGTCATAATCCAACGTGAAGCTCGATTTCATGACAGAATCATGTAGTTTGCTGACGGTGTTTATTTAGCTTGGCATATCACAGTGCTTATTATAATTCTGGTATTAGGCATTTAACTCTGGGTTGTCAAATATTTAATAATCGATGGTGATGATAATATCTCAACTTCAGCCCTACACAAGGTGTGAGCCATAATGATAATAATGTGAAGTGTCATCAGGTGCAAGGTTAAGGATGAGATAAAAATAAAACATAGTAGACACTTGGATCAGACATTGTAGCACTTTCAGTTAAACTCTAGAGGGCAAGAAAAGCAATGGGTCATAGGGTAAGTCACACCTGGAAATAAAACTGACCCTATGTGATCAGATGCACTCAATGAGTTCTAAACACATCCCTATCATTTGGCCTAGAAATGCCACGCTTGGAAATTGATCCTGATGAAAGAGTTGAAAAGAGGAGCCCATTTCGATGATGAGATTCCTTGGCTAGACCACTATAATGCCATAAACTTGTATCAGTGCCCACAGACAGAAGTTTAGAAGCAAATCTTCAGGATGAATCATTTAAAAAAAAAATCCTTAATATCATCTCTCATTAATATTGCCTGAGGAAATACTAAGATCAGTGGGTTAAGAAAAGAGTCGTGGCGTTAACTGTGGCAAAAGTCAGCATTCACTGAACAAAGAATGTGATCAATTAAACAGGGTCGGTGTTTTCTGACATAGGGAAGAGAGTTGTGTTTCCGTTTAATTTGACAGAGATAATCATAAGTGACGGTCCCAGCCCTCCGGGAGCTTGCGAATGTGACAGAGCGTGATAAAAATGGGGACAGCCTCCGGGGGTCAGGTGGATGGCGCGCGGTGGTAAGGACAGGGCTCTGTACTGGCGAGGGGAACAAGGAGGGTGGTGATGATTGGAACCTTTCTCACATTTGTCCACATATAATTAGAAGCGCGAGCCCCCCCGTGGCGTACTCGGGCCACAGTTAAGTGTCTGATGGACAGGATTTGCCCAGCCCTGACCTTAACCTGAGCTATAAATAGTGGCCAGTAGTGTTTTTCGTGGCCGCCGTGGTAATCATAACGATATGAAAATGCATTGCTTTACCAGAAGATGAAGACGAAAGAGGAGCAGGAGAAAGGGAGGGAGCGGGAGAAGAGGCAGTAGACGTGGAAGAGGCGGAAAATGTCCGAACAGAGTCATCAGGAGGAGGTGAAACCCCAGAGAAAGGTCTGGAGTCCCGTCCGCCCACCTCAGAGCTCCAGGCTGCCCCAGAGCCTGCCCCAGCCCTGCCACCCGCCGCGGATGCCCCGGTGACACAGGTAACCGTTCCTGAGCTCCTTCTTACAGGCCACGCACGCGTGCTTCCTTGCTGACAAGACTTAGTTTCACATGATTTTCTCACCAATGACACCCTCAAATCTGAGGCACTCTTTGGAAATTGTGTGTGTGTGTGTGTGTGTGTAACATGTTAGTTCACAGAGAGCTGATATCATGAGGATTGAGTACAGATGTAGGATATAGGTTGAGAAATAAAAATGGTTATACTTTCGGAATTTTGAATTTTCTGTAGGTAATAAAGGAACTAAACAGAGAACCCATGCTAGTTTATGTCCCTGTTGCTTACCCTGAAACAGAGCTATAGCTTTTGTTCCATGGGCAAATAGATGAAGCTTAGTTTTCTGTGTATCTGTCATTTGATGAGATTATGTGTTGACAGAATTGTTTTGAAAAATTTCTTAGGAAATTAGCTCATCCCAGATACTGTACTTGATTGACTGACTTTATATTTCTAAGATGTCACTGTTTGGTGTTCAAGCCTCTGTACTGACTGCATGACACCTTTAGCAGACAGATCCCAACCTCTGGAGTTTGTAGACAATGAAGATGCATTAAAAAAAAAAAAAGTCCTGGTTTCAAAGTGGATTGGAATTATCTATAGCAATAAAACCTCAGAGAGGGAACTCAGAGATGGAATTATATCCTATGCTCTGTCTCCATAGGAAACTGGGCTAAAATACTATTTATAGTTCCTAGAATCTTGAAATTCTGGGTATACCAATTGCACTGAAATCGAAAGTGGTATGGTAACTAAATGAGAGTTGGGTTTGATCAATCAGATCAATTTTTGGTTTTAGAAAAGAGGTTTTGGGGGCCCACATATAAAAATAAATTAATGCTGGTCAATAATTTGCCCTTTCTCCCATATCTGATATTTTATAAGCAACCTTTGTTTTAGGCTTCTGCTGTCTGCCTGCCCAGGCCACCATCTAGTGAAAGACAAGCCCAGAAAAGAAGAGGGGGCACGTGCAGATGCCGAGACAGAGGGCCGCTAGCTGCATTCTTGCCTTTAGTGCTTGCGGAGGGTGGGGTGAGCTGAAACCTGCACTAGATCAGGCACTGCGCACAGACCTATCAGTTTTCAAACAGCAAGGGAACTAAAATCAACTGCCTTTTTTTTTTCTTCTTTTTTTTTTTTTTTTTTTTTTTTTTTTTTTTACTTTTGAATGTATCTGTCCTATGAAGGGGGAGGTTGTACCCACTGGCTCTCAGCAGACCACAGAGTCTGAAACTCCAGTCCCTGCAGCAACGGACACTGCGGATCCCTTGTTTTACCCTAGTTGGTATAAAGGCCAAACGCGGAAAACCACCACAAACCCACCTTCCACCCCAGGGAGCGAAGGTCTGGGGCACGTAGGGCCTTCAGGTTCTGAGGATCCGAACGTGCGGCAGGCAGAAGGGGCAGAAGCCGCAGCCAGTGAGAGGGCAGCAGTGAGTGGTAAGGAAACTAGCTCACCTGCGGCTACTTCTCAGGTTAGTGTCGATGCTCTGGTGTCTGAATGCTAACCCCCCGTGCCGCCCGGGGTCCAGCCGGGATGACAGCAAGAAGGAAGGGCTTCCAAAGGGGCAGAGAGAACCCAGGGCCTTGGGAAAAACAGAAACAACTCATCCCCCCGTGTTGGCTTGTTTCTCTAAGCCTTACATGAAACACAAATTTGACTTCACTCTGCTCATGCGTGGCGACCTCACACCTGGCTTCCCAGGGGAGGGATGCAAGCGAGCCTGGCCCTTAGGCCTGCAGGTGAAAGCTGCTCCATCTGCAGTGACTGGCTGGTGTCCCTAGCTCCCCTCTGCCAAGGCCACTTGACCTTGCTCGGCCTTTTCTGCATCCTCCTTGAGCTTCCAAAGACTAATCATCTGCTTTTGTGTCATTCCCAACAACCCCCAAGGAACACAGAATTGAGTTCTGTGTCCACTCTGGAAAAATAACCTGATTCATGGGTTCTGGGAGTGTGCCAGTGACAGCTGGGCAAAGATAGTCTTGGCTTAATTAAACTGGTGCTTCCTAAGCATGTGCTCCTGGGAGCAGAAAAGCACAGGTTTTCTTCCTTTGGAATTTTTTAAAGGGTCATTAAATACCTCTTTTTTTCTTTTTATAATGCAAGTTTGAAGTCCACGTCTTCTTCCTAATGCTGGGTTAGATGTTTGCATGGCTCAAAGATTCCATAGAAGAGGTCTTGCACAATTTCTTCTCACGGAAGAATGTTCATGGTTACTCCATACCCATGAGTATTCTTATATGACGTGTGCGTGTGAGTGTTGCCCAGACACGGGGCTGGCAGAGAAATTTGCTCGAGTTCTGTGCTCCTGGGTCATCAGGTGATTACGAACAACAAAAAGCATTTTTTCAGAAATCATAAAATTACCCTCTTGACTGTATCTGCTCAAGTGAACCTCGATTTCCATGAGGTAATAAATGGAAATGATTTTTGGAAAATTCAAAGATGAACATGCTTTTGTGCCATGTATTTATTTTCACAGATGAAAAATGACAAAACTAAATGTTTGGTGTAAGGAAACCTTTTGTGGTTGTTTTTAGGTTAAAAAAAAATGGAGTAGAAAGTTTTCTAGAAAACTGATGGGAACTTTATTTCTAGAAAGTTTATGGGATTCCTTACATATTTAGTGGAAGTTGAGTCAGGAGGAGCTGTTTTCTGAAAACGGTAATACAATAATAACCCGAAATAGGAGAACACCCCAAACGAAAATGAAAAATCTATCTAAATGATGTTGAAAAATATTATTTGTGATAATATCAGTGAAGCTTTCTTCTTGTTCTCTCACAGGAGTTAGCAATCTGCCTAGCACTTTTGGCTTTCCTTGTACTGCACTACATCTGGCGTCAGATTCAGTGCTTGATTTTTACTTTAATGGGTAGGAAACATTTTCTTTTCCCTTGACTAACATCTCGTGTAGCTCTTCCATACATGTTCCTCTTCCGTAGGCCCAGGGATGGATTTCTCCCCAACTCTGAGGCTCAGCCACCTAAAAAGTACCAAGTTCTTAGACAGTACTCGTGGCCTTAAGGCACCTCCCTGAGGATAATCACTCCATCATCTAATCCTGCATGGAGGGGGATCCTGACTCAGAACAGAGACTCCGTGGGCAATTATTCAGTAATCCAGTGGGAGTGGACCCTCCAGAATAGCCATTAGGGGAGGCCAGTTTCAAAAGATGTGTCCATAATGCTGTGAGGACTCACTGCTCTTCAAGTAGATCGAGGACCAGCAAAGGCCTGATTCAGGAATACGCAGGGTTTCCATCGATTACGTAGCAGCATTTCATCTGCCTCACCAGAGGGGTGCCCAGGAGGTGGCCAGGTAACTGCATTGATGGGCAGGTGGACCAGGTGACTTCTAGTTCTTTCTTTCTGAACCCTCAGACTCTACAGTGTCTCTCCTGGAACATCAGGGACATTTCAGCCAGGTGAGATCTGAGTGCATAGGAGCCAGAAGGCCAACGTTCATCTACTGGCCATAAAGAATCAGAACCAAAGAAAAGTCATAAAGCCAGCACACAGCATATTATTTTTGATACACGTTCTCATGGTCATGCCTTTTCTTTTCTTTTTTTTTTTTTTTCCTTGCGTTATGCGGGCCTCTCACTGTTGTGGCCTCTCCCATTTGCGGAGCACAGGCTCCGGACGCGCAGGCCCAGCGGCCATGGCTCACGGGCCCAGCCGCTCCGCGGCATGTGGGATCCTCCCGAAACGGGGCACGAACCCGCGTCCCCTGCATCGGCAGGCGGACCCTCAAGCACTGCGCCACCAGGGAAGCCCACGCCTTTTCTTGATTTTCCTGTTAGAAGGTTTGCTTAGGGACTGACATCTTTCTCCTTTCTCAGCCTTTTGAAAATTATCAGCTTACTGAATCATATTTAAAGATTCAAACACCATGTGCTTTTGAGTAAATGACCTTGCTGGACCCAAGACCCAGCTCCCTGTGCCTGTAGCTCAGAAGTGATTCGGGGTGACTAGTGCTGAAAGGACTCAGCTATTTCTGGCTTGCTGACTTTTCCCTGGTTGACATTGACTCCTCTGGAAGCTCCAATCATAGCTCCTTTCTGCCTCATTAGCTGTCCGCTCAGCAATGGCAGTAGGCTCTCCATGGGTCCCTGTCATGTCTATAACTGTGTGTGAGTAGGACCCGCCCCAGTGTCTAATAGTCAGCCAGAAACCTGTGTACCCTAGAATGTTCTGAGTGTCCTTATCATCCGCTCAGGTGCATAACTCCTCCTCCTCTCATTATTTTTGGTGAAAAGCAGGGGAGGAAGTATTGGCCATGGACTCAGTGGGGCAAATGGGGAGAGAGAAAACTCCATGCATCATTGGAATATCCTGAATAACTGGATCTGAATAATTGTCTGAAGAGTTCAGTTTACATTCTGAGGATTCAGGTTTGGGGCTTTGTTGCCATATATCTGTGTAATGCTTCTCTGAGGCTGCAGGGGGAGAGTCATGCTTCTTGTCTGCCATCCACTGAGCCCATGTCATGGATGCTGTGTCATTCACGTGCCTGTCATGAGGCTGAGGCAGGTGGGGCGGGGTGGATAGGGTGAACTGACCTTCTTATTTCAAAGAACCTTGCTTGTGTCATTCCTGGTGTTTGAGAAAGGGCCTTTCACGTAGCGAAGGAAACCTATTCGTGATGCAGGAACACTCTTTGATCCCTGCCTGAAAGAGGGTACGGACAGATAGACAGAGATCAAATTCCTCACCTCTGTGAAGGTTTCGCAGGCCTGATTCACCTTCACTACCTCAGAACCCAGCTCATTAGATTAATATTTGTCCAACGCAGTGTTAGCTTGTTAGAATTTCACACTTCATCATTAGTCTTTCCTTGAACATTTAGGATGTGACACAAAAGTTCTCTTGGTTCACTGGTAGCCTTACCTCTCTTAACAATATGGTCCCCTGTCAGGAAACGAGGTTGCCTTAGAATTTCAGAAGCATCTAAGGATCTGGCTGATCTGTAAACTCACTTCAGCCCCATCAGTGGAACTGCAAACCTTTTAAGAAGGCAAATGTTTCCAGGTGCTTTTTCCTCATGGCCATTCACACAGCCTGCCCTTGCTTTCGCTGCCTGTGATTTCTGATGCTGTATTAACTCTTACTTTATCACATACCTTCTCTCTTCACCTAATTACGTAGGCAGATTATGCGTCAGAAATTGGCCGTGGCAAAAAAAGCAGACGTTGACTCTGCACCGGTGGTGAACCGGGATTCTGCTTTTTGTTTGATAAGAGGTACATGTTGCCTTCCCCACCTTCATTCTCAAAGAAAAACGAATTTCTCAACAAGTTTTGGATTCAGCCCTATCTATATCACACTGTGCAAAGCCCATATACATGAACTGTTTTTGGTTGTCGTTTTTTTTTTTTTGGCCGCACTGCAAGGCGTGTGAGATCTTAGTTCCCCCAGTCAGGAGACTAGGAATCGAACCCATGCCCCCTGCAGGGGAAGTGTGGAGTCTTAACCACTGGACCACCAGGGAAATCCCATGAACTGGTCTTTAGCTGCAAAATGGCCCTCTAAGTTCCCACCCTTCTAGACCAGGCCTGCTGTATATGCTCAGTCAATGCAAAGCAAGTTTGAAGGAAATAGCATTGGATCTACTTCATGTATTAATTTTTTAATTTATTTTTTAAAAAATTGCACCACGCCCTAGTCAACCTCAGAAGACAGGGCAATAGTAAGATGGGGAGCACACTGTGATGAGGTCGGCCACCCTTGGAAAGCAGTCTCTGTGAGCCCCATCTCCTGGGTGATTTCCTTGTCCAACCTGCTTCCTCTGCTGCCCTTCTCTTCCTACCTACTTACATGCAAATCACACCCAAGTGTTAACACAGGGACCACGCCCACCCTCATGGATAACTGGGTATTTTATTGGGCATATGTGTGGCAATTAGATTCTTCCAGAAGTGGGAGCAGCAACAATTGAAAGCCCCTCCGTGTTCCCCTTCCTCCCTTCCCAGTGAGGCTTAGTGGCTTTGGTTGGAAGAATTTATTCAAACCATTTGATGAGAGCTGTACAGGGAACAGGGATTTCCAGAGAAATGTCTCCCTATTTGGTAGATTAACTTGGCAGCTGCTCTGGCTGACATTTGTTCTGGACCATGGCAGCTGCCTTAAGGTTGGAGGACCCCAGCCCCACTTCCACCACACACACACACACACACACACACACACACACACACACACACACACACACACACACACACACATCTAGAGGCAG